AACATCGTATTAAATCTTTGAGGGATCTTTGCACTTCCTTTAATGGGACAACCTTATGAGTATCTGAGGTTAATTGGCTGTGCTAAAGTCACTTGCAAAGCTGCTCTTAGCATTTTAGTGGGATCAGAGTCATCCTTTGCCCGAAACTCCCTTTATGTGCGCTACTTCACTTTGTGCATCCTTTTAGATACGTAAACTGCTCTTAATATTTACTGTTGCTATAGTATGTCTTTTCTGAGGATGTCAGTGGACTTCACAAAACATGAGATCTCACAGCATGTCTGTGGCAGTACTAAGTACTATAGGTTTCATAATATAGCTGAGAAAACTGGCAAGGACAAACCCGTAAGACCTACTAAGAATCACATGAGAAAATATTGCCATTGGGTCATTAGTAAAGAGGAGGTGTGCGCTGGATTAAGGACTCCAGTCCAGATAGTCCAGAGACTTGTCTTTTCCTCCAAAGTACAGGCTGTTGACAAACATAATTTTTTTTTTTTAGGGAATAGCTGAAAAATAAGGGAAAAGCTACACTGAGAATTACTGGTTGACTTCATCATGCAGCATGAACATTTATTTCTTTTATTTAAAAAAATTAATCTCATGTCTTACATTTCTAAAACATTTTAATCCATATCCTTTTATTAAGGAGCAGTCCCTTTGTGACAAACAGTAATTGCTCTGTTTTGCAGCGAACCATTTCTTAATGACAAAAAGCTGATCCAAACAGTTGATCTGAATTCATTATACCAGTACCTTTATTTAAACATTTTGGAGGCATAAAAATGACAAGGTCAGTATGGCAGTTCTGCAAGGCTACTGCTTTTGATTGGTTCTCTGAAAAGTTTCTGATGGCGTGGTTGCAAACTGTAACATAAGCCATTTTTTTTAAAAAGTTTTTCTTAGTTGCCAGGAAAGATGTCTTGTGAATCTGGAAGCTGAAGACCTCAAGTTCAGCTTAATATTTATTGAACTGGTTGCACACAGGCAGCAGTAGCATAGATCTCTCCGTGCTCTGCCATTTATGTGTGTCACAAATGATCTTGAGGCATATTTAAAAGGAGAAAGGGCAGACTTGGTTTTGACCCTTCTCTGGAGGTGAGCAGAGACGTGTTGTATAGCAAAGAGAGCTATTGATGTGTGTGGTTGCTGTTGGGAAGGAGCCTGCAGTTGCCCAGACCAGACTGAAGACCATTTACAACTCACTGTCTGGTTGGGATTTAAGTGAGAGACACATCAGTTTATTCCTGAATTTGTTTCCATGCAGTTCGTTAGAAGACCACGTAGACATGTTATCCAAGGCATATATATTTGCCTAAAATTCAGCTAACTATACAGAAAATAAAAAGAAAAAGGTTATATTAATACGTACAGTTTTTCACGTGGTTTGAGGCTGAAATTAACAGATCAGGGTTTTTAAAAGTGGCTACCCAGCTTTTTCGGAAGCGTTAGGTAGCTGCGCTTCTGACCAACTTGGGTAGCAGCTGCTGTATCCTTTTGTGGATCAGGATGTTCTGGCCTTGTTTGGTCAAAGGCAAGCAGACAGGGTTATGCTGTGCTTGGCTGTATCACGCTGACAAAACCGGAGCTGAACTCCCATGCTATTGCTAATTTAACAGGAGGTGAATGCCAAGAGCTGCATTAAAGCAGGTTACGTTACCATGCTCATGGTTTGCATTCCCCAGCCAAGATACTGTTTGGGAACCCTGCCTGTTTCATGTGATATGTGTTAATAGTCATCTTGTGACCACGGAGAAAAACTGAGTAGAGCAAATCTTTAAGGTCCCAAAAACAAGGCAACTGTTGTGAACTCTGTGTCTTTATTTTTGTAGATATCTCTCTCGGGGGAAACCAATTCTTGGGCTTAGCAATGCTACAAGCGTTAGACTGAGGTAGAAGACTTTACTGAGATTATTGTATTCATCGCTGCTGTCTCAGCTGTAGTAGCATAACCTTATCTTGGGAAAAGATAGAGCCAAAACAGAGGGACAACAGTGTTAGGAGGTGAAAAATGGAAAGACTTAATGAGAAATAGAAAACACAACGCTATAAAGAGAAAAAAGAACTAAGATGGTGTGATAAATTTACAAAGAAGAAAGAATCTGAGTAAGTCAAGTCCTGTCAGCCTTTTTACGATATTGAAGAATGAAAACAACTCTTGTAACAATGAAGAGCAATATTTAAAAATGTCCCTAGAATATATATTAGTACAATTCACCAGTTACTGCAAAATGCCATTGAGGACAAGGACACAGCAGGGTTCAGGACGGCTCCAAGAGGCACAATAGGAATTACTTGGACAACCAGACTTCTGGTCCCTATAATCCAATCTTTTCATTGCAGTGGTCAGCCAAGAAGGCGGTGAATTAAAAACCCAATTTTAATGTCGCATTACAATGGTTTTAGGATTTTTTTGTAGCATGCACTTTGTTGATTTTTGTCTGCCAAGAAGGCTGTGCAGTTCACTGCTAAGTCAAGGAAAATATGCATAGCACACTGTCCTTAACTAGTATAAAGAAGTCTGTCTTTGAAACAAAGATCTGTTTTCCAGTGAGAACTTACGCAAATTGAAATATAGTGAATACTGCCCACGATAGTAGTATTTCATAGACTTGTGGCTAGTTGCATTGCAATTTGTCTTTTGTTGTTTTTTTTTAAATAGAGAATATTGTTCCAGTTATCTTTCTCTCGGTAGCTGTTTTTACAGTTCAGTACACTTGAGCAAACTGGTGTAATTTTCTTCTGTAAGTGGCTTTTTCTGTTACAAACATTGGCAATTCATGTGTTTCGGGTGCAAGATGGGCTTTCATCTAATGCCCAGAAGTAAGTCATTGAATTTTCTTGTGTGGATCAACTCAAGTTGTTTATTGTGTCCATCTTTCGCTCCTCTGCTTGAAGCGGCTAAGCTACGTGAATCAGTAACTGTAGAATGTTGAACATTTCTGGATGACTCAAAATACAGAAAACAAAAGCTCTACAGGACCAATCACCTGCCATTGTACCTCATGAAAATAAAGGTTTTATTAGGAAATTAATTCTTGTATCAGGGACTGATGGTAAACCATGCTAGACAACAGCATTTTGATACCCAGTCGTTGTTGCAGTCTCAGCCAAAAGCCTCATCAGAGCCGGCTTTATTAAGATCTGTATGTTAAACAATTCATGAATGCTACTTTGGGAAGGCAAAGTGGGGTTAGCCATGCACACAGTCTGAGAAACAGCTCTGCACCTGCCATTCCTCAGGGTTTGTCAGTGCCCGTAGAGCTAGTAGATTTTTCACCTGGTTGCATGTGTTAATGTTGGCATTCCTTGTTTCAGGCTTCCACTGAAGCCACATTCCTGGGGTGATACTGGCTCAGTTAAAAGTATATGTCATATAGCTTGTACTGAAATTCATGCTCTGTTTTTAATGGCTTTCTACTTGTGCAAAGATGGCAGTCGTGTGTTATCCAGGGCACTCGTGGGGGACGGGGTAGACTCTAGTCCTTCCTTAATCGTTTGTGAGCTGACCATCCCACAGCTTAGGACCATTACTTAGAGTTACAGGAGACGATACACAGTATTTGATTCCGTTTTTTCATATTCCCTTGGACATTGCTTTGGCATGGGGCCAAGAGAGCACACTTTAGAATTGAGGGTAAAGTCTGATTGCCTTTATGGGTTTCTAGATGCCTTTTGGCACTGAGCCTTGAGACCACAGGGAGCGATGCTTTCCTTGCCCACGATCTCTCCAAGCTGTGTGCAAAGCACGGAAAGCCAACTGCTCCACACATAGCTTCCATGTTGGGTTTAAGCTCAGTTGAGGCATCACTATACTTTCCCTGGTATTTTCCCTTTAATCTCAGCTTCATTTGAAGAGCACGGTTTAGTTGAACTGTCTAGTTATGTGGCTTCCTTTATTTTTGTTTTAAACTTGTTTAACTTTGGCTTATTTTTAAGAGCAGGGCATGCCAAAAAGTGAAACTCTAGCTTAATTAGAATTAGTGTGACCCACTGGGGATGAAAAAGAAACAGGTAGTCTTAGCGTTTGTCAGCACAGAAGAAGTTTTGGTGGTATAGCAGCATGGGTAAACTTGCTCTGTGAAAGCATAGCCTGTACCAGAGAAGTGTTTTAAGCAATATGAGTTAAACTGGTTTCCCTAATGAATTGACTGTATTAAGAGGAGAAAGAACTGGGGTGGTGATGTAGCTTTATCTTTGTGAGGGTTTTGCTAGCACAGCTATGGTCTTCTGAAGGGTATGTTTAATTCTCTTAATTGACATGACGTTGGTACTACTTTTAAGTGCTTATTAGAGTGTCCCCTCCAGATCAAATGTGCCTGCACATACGATTACTCAGGAATAGCTTCAAGTCTGGGCCAATTTTAGTATGAATTAAAGTGTATACAAGCAATGAGTTAACTGGAAACAGGGCAAAGAAAATCAAAACAAGCCATTGGAGCAGGTTTTCCCCATATAACTAAATCAGTTAAATTGTTATAGGGGACACAGGTACAACCTTCCTAAGCATCTGAGTCCTCCTGGCCTTTCTCATGTACTGAGCTACTCCCAGACTTTCTTTAAATCTCTTCTTTACGGAGTATTCCCATATTTAACTAACTGTGTGATCTAGTCCAGTTAAAATCCTTCTTTTTAGGCCATTAGTCAAGTGTTTCTGACATTGTGCTCTATTTGAAGTGGACTGAAAACCCAATGAAGAGTCTCTGTCTTTGTTTTTGAAGTCCAGGTACTCTTATAGTAATACTTTATAAGTCCAGGAGAGCAATACTTCTGTAAGTAGGAAGGTTTAGATGGCTTTACAGCATTGCTTTGAAGCCACAGTGAGGTGCAGTGTGATTCAGTGGATGAACATTGGTTCCTTCATCTTGTGCTGCATGTGAATATTAAAGCGGTTGATGTTTTGTGTAAGCAAAGACATGCAAATATATCTTGTCCTAACAACTGGATGATTTTTGTCTTTTGCTCTTTCCGTTTAGATGACATTTTAGATAAGGCAACAAGGAAAGACCTTTTCACCGACACTTTCTGTAAGGTCTGCGGGGCAGTGCTGCAGTTTGAGTCTCAAAGGATGTCACACTATAAGGTAGGCTGGAAAGGAGAATTTCTCCTAGCAAGCACTGGGGCTTTGCTTTGTTTGGGGTTTCTACGTAGTGTTATAAAAGACTTTTTATAGTGTGTTTCTCAAGGCTTATGCTAGGCTTAGACATTAACCAGTCTTGAATGTGAAAGTTGTGGGTTCAGTATAGTGAAGGGCAATCACCTGCATATTGCAGCATGATTTTAGAAGGAACTGAGCAGGTTCAGGCCATGCTGTATACAGCATTGAAGCAGAACTGCACCACGTGAGCCAGAACGTATGTATGGCACGGGGCAGTGCTAGCTATTGAGGATCGAGGTCATGCCTTCTGATGCCTCACCCAGCAATACACACGTGCTGCTCTGTGCACCAGTGTCTGCTTGAGGTAGGTTGTATGAATCATGCTGAGGGCGTTTCTTGGAATAACTGTGTGCCTTGGGATATTGCTGTAGACATGGGAAAGCGTGCTTTATTTTGAAACTTGATCTTGAGGGTTTGCAGGCACAGACATTTCTGTCTTTTTCTTTCTTCTTGCAAAAGTTAAAGTTTAAAATGTCAGTTGCTGTCAGGAGTCTTTCTCGCTATTCACATTATGAAGACTCAGGTCTTGCAAGGTGTTGTATTTCCTTATTTTGATTTAACTTAAGCAGCAGTTGTACTGTCAGAACGTCACAGAGTTCAGACCCTCGGTTTGATTTTGTTGCTCGGATCAAAATCCAATTGAGGATAATAGATGCAATTGTAAAGTTACCTGACTTCACCATTACAAAATGAATTGAATTGATGGAAGTAACTGACTCTTCTCAGTTGTGCTTGTATTGTCTAGCCGGGTATGATAGGTCCTCTTTCTCTTTGATAACACTGTTACAATATCCTGCACTGCTCCTCAGAATCCTTAAAAGACATCTGAAAAGCATTAGGTCAGAGAAGACGAGTTACTTGTTTTGCTCTGTAGGTTACCACTGTATAGTGTGGCATGTGGGTAAGGACATAACAAGTGCAAAAATTTGAAGGTTATGAGTTCAGAGAGCATCTAAGAATTAAAAAATAATTGCAGCTGAGGGAAGTATACATTGACACCCAATTTTAGGTACCTGGACTATTGTATCCTCAGTAGAAAGGTGTAGAAATCTCCATTGACTGACCCCAAGCTGGAGATTCTTTAACTCAGCTTCCAGGGAAACCTGTTTCTCTCTACTGACTGTACAGGGAGACTAGACTTTTTATTTTGGAAGGTAAGTTAGGTCCTGCTGCCTGTTATTCTTCTGTGCCACGACACGGGACAGCCTTGTTGTCAAGCGCCCAGGCTTAGTGGTAAAGGAGCACAGCAGACTTGCTCTGTGGCATGGCTGCATTCCTTTTCTTACCTATTTTAGCGTCCTTGTTTGTAAGGAGGCATGTCAGGATTTTTGGTTTTTCAAAGAGTTGAGAGTAGATGACTCCAAGGGCTACTCGAGGCAAAATGTTGTAAGTAATGCTAAGTACTGTATTATTGATTAAAGTATAGTATTGTTACATGAGCTGGCGTTTGTCCACTTGTGGCTCTGCTCTGTACAAATACAATTTGGCAAATGTTGAAAGCAGTTTTTGATGAATGAAGTCCCAGTCACTGAATATATCACTGCTTGGATCCTTGTTACTGAAACAGGAATAATTCTAGTTTGCCCTTTCCCAGGGCAAAAAGCACGCTCAAAAAGTTCGTCTTTACATCCAAATGCATGGTGAGAAAGATGGGAGGCAGGAGCATGGCAAACAGAAGAAAACAGATTGTGTCAATTTTCAGGTGACTATTCCTCTTCATGGCTAAATAAAATGTTTCCTTGTATACTTCAGTGAATGCTTGTAACTGAGCTTGCCCTTGCCTGGTTTCAGACGGATGGGAGCGGAGTACTGGACAAAAACAAATACTGCAATCTCTGCAACGTGATTTTTACTTCCCCAGTTGTTGCTTTGTCTCACTACTTGGGAAAGATCCACGCTAAAAAGCTGAAGCAATTATCAGGAGACCAAGCCCACATGCCAGCACAGACCATGCAGCCTGTTTCTGGTAAGAACTAAATAGTTTGCTTTGCATGTGTTTTCCTGTCACTCTCTCTGAAACAAGTATAGCGAAGTATCTTCCTACACTTGCCATGTCTCTATGCCTTTCTATTCTGCCAAAGTTGTGGAACTGTCTTGTGGTAACTCCTTAGGTGAATAAACAAAGATACTACCCTGTGCAACTCCGAAGCCATGGAACCTTGCTTTCAAATTCCCTATCTTTCATTGACTGGAACTAAAGGCAAATATTTCTGATTTTTTATTAATGAAAGGTGTTTATTGTTGTTCTGAGAATTCGCTGCAGTCCCAACAAGATGTTCCTCCGATAAATTAATATGATAAGAAACACTTAACTGGTGTTAGTCCTGCACAAGTTGCTGAACTGTGTTTAAAGATGGAGCATAGTGTACGTGCTCTGAATCACCCTCTGCAGGGTACCTCTGTCTTCTTGGACTGTATAAGGACGTTAGAGTGACCAGCCATCAAACACAGCTGATTTTTAGGTATTTAATGGTGGGGTTTCTGAATATTCCAGGGTTGTGTTCCTTATCAGTCTGTACTTTCATATCCTTGCAAGGATTAAGATATTTTATAGTCTCTGGCAAGTAGTTCAGCACCCAGCAGGCTTCTACTTTCTATCTCTGTAGTTCTGCAGTCACCTGTTTTGCTCCATGGAATTGTTTTAGCCTTTCCTTTGCTGTGCTGTCAGCAGATGTATCCTCTACTTGCATGTCTCCAGCTTTACAGAAGCCATCAGCTGAGAAGCCCTTGCTGCCTTCAAAAGCTGAAGAGTCTTTGTCATCCTCCAACACAAGGTTGAAGTTAAATGATCCAGACAAGTACTGCAAGCTCTGCTGTGCTCCCTTCAATAATCCACTCGTGGCTCAGCAGCATTATGTTGGTAAGAAACACAGAAGAAATGAAGCACGGAGAAAGATATTGGAGGAGCTGGGAGACAAAGCTGTCCCTGAAGAATCCAGCACAAATGGTAAGCAGAACATGAGCAAGTGTTACAATCTCTTGAGTGTAGCTCGAGTGCTCTGATTTGTTCAAGGAACTGCTCTGATGTGTGCAAGGAAATAGTAGTCTTCTCCTGTATTACAGAAAAAGTTCATTTCTTCCTTTCTGTTTGGTCTATGAACTGCTAAAGTTCTGTCTCTGACAGCTGTAGGCTGGAAAATATTTCTTACTGACTTCGAGACCCAAATCCAGCCTCACTGAGTTCTGCGGTCAAATTGAAAGGATCCTAGAAAATAGCCCAGTCCCCTAAATCCAAGGCCAGGATCAGTTGTATCTATGTCATTCTTAAGATGTTCATCCACCTTGTTCTTAAAAAACGTCTGTGCTGGGAACTCCACAACCTCCGTAAGGAACATCCCCCAGGACTTCTTGATCTTAAAACCTTCTACTGACATTGAACTCAGCTCTCTCTGACCACAATGTTGTTTTTTTTGCTGTGCACAGAACAAGAAGCAGACACAAGAATTGAATCATTTGTTTCCTTTTTGTCACATTCTTTAAATAATTGAAAACTGGTGTCATGGCTTCCCTTAATCTTTTATTCATGAAACTGGTTGTTGTAATTATGTCAATCCTCCCACATAAGGAAATTTGTTTCCTGAACAGTCATTGTTCTCTAGGCTCCCATCGGGACTGTCTCCAGCTCAAGCACTGCGTGCAAAGCCAAGGTCCTGTTGGTGTGCAACTTCTGTTAATTTTGAGGGGGCATCATCTGGTCCTGTGCAACAGAACTGCCAATCCTTTCTTTAGTAAGGAATTCAAAATCCTACCTGATAATCAAAAGTCATTGTTAGTATCAAACAGCTCTCATTAAGTCATGCTGTAATTTAAACAAAATAATACATTTTGATGCAAAGCAATAGCCCATTGGAATTAATGCTGGATTTTGCTAATGGATGAAGCTCTTGGGTTTGCATGGGGAAAAAGGTTACTCACTGGTTTCAGAATATTTAGGTCTATGGATGACACAGCTTGTAGAGAGGAGAAAAACGACAACCTAGAAAACACAAGGGTTTTCCTCATCTGACCTTACCTTGTATTTGCCTGAGGCTCCATGTACCGTATTCATAATGTACTGTATCGACAATTCCCTCAGCATCTTCACAGGGTTGAACCAACACTGCATGAACATTTGAGCAGGTAATATTTAAACTGATCTTATTTTAATTAAATCTGGACTGACTGGATTGGTATCTGTTGGTGCTTGCTTTGGGTGTCAGGTATTTACAATAGTATTTAATTTTTCAGTACAGTTCATTCTCATCAGCACTTGACAACAGTGTACTGGAATTATCTTGGATCACTTCAGTCATCAGAAATACTCTTTTTAAATGTTTAAGCCGTGGTTACACTGCAACTGTACACCTCACCAGCTCCCTTCATACTATTCTAGTGTCAAATTGCAGCAGTGACTTTATATCTGTCTACAAATGTCATTTATGGGAACATTATGTTAGGACTCTTGCATGGGATGGGATTGTGATGTGCCTTTCATTTGTAGTCTCTGTAACCTACAGATTCCTTGTTTTCAGCAGTTGGTGTTGGTTATTACATGTGCCGCATATGTAACATCGCACTTACGTCTATAGAAACATACCAGTCCCACGTGCAAGGAAATAAGCACCGGATTAAGTAAGTCAGTAAGTCTTCTGTTGCTATTCCTGTGTAGTTTGTACTTTCAGACTTTTTCATTAGCCCTGTTGTCTGCTGTTAAGTGACTTTGACTAGTTCATGGATTTTTTTGTTTTGGTTTGGGGGGTTTTTTGTTGCTTGGTTTACTGGTTTAAAGGGGCACTGTCCATTTAAACATCATACTTGTGACTGAAATTCAGCCTTCGAGTTCCCACAGTTGCATCTTCAATGACAACCCACAGGGGAAAGGTCCTGAAACCTGTACAGTTTTCCCACTTATTTTGCTATCTGGGCGTAGCAGTACCTGTTCTGGTACATCATCTTTAGTGCTCAGTCTAGAAGGAAATGGTCTGAACTTAAAGATTCCTATTGACAGGGCAAAGAAGACCTTAATCCCGAAAAGTGCCAAGTCTCCATCAATTGTGTTGCTTTCAGGATTCATCAACATGCGTCTTACATTTGGCATAAGATCATTTACGGGATAGATGATAGCTCTTGCACTTCCCCTTTTACCCAGAAGAGGGCTTGTAGGCTGTGTTAATTGCAGAATGGATATTGTTGTGACTTAAGATGTACTTTTTAGAGATTGCTGTGCAAGTAGGCTAAATATCAAAATTGCTTACACGTTAAGCATTTTGATAAGACATATTTTAAGTGAAGGTGCGATAATAATATAACCATGAGACTGATGTAGAACTGATACAATTTTAAGTGTTTGTTTAGTCAACAGCATTAGAGTCTCGAAAAACAGGAATATAGGGAACTGCTACAGGCCTACTTATAGTTTAACAAAATGAATGTGTAAAGCTGGTGAATTAAGGCAGAACAAGATACATTTAAGGGATGGGTCTTCGGAGCTGCCCTTCCCACAGGGGATATCTTTATCATCTAACCGCTTTATCTTCCAGCCTGAGGAAAGGGAGAGTAGAATATAAACTGATAAGTAGTTTTGCCTTGGGAGCACACTTACCTTGTTTGGGGTTTTTAGTAATCCAGGTTGGTTGTTTCTGTTCTGTTTTGTTTCTGCTGTGGAGTCACACAGTTTGCCTGAAATTACTGGACTGCAACTGTTCAATAGAATGAATCTCGTAAAGAAATTAGTAACTTTATTACTTGACAGTCGGTATATAATGTAATTGCTTCTTATCTGCAGCTAATTGGAGATTAGTTAATAAGAGCGAATCTTAAATTTTCATTTTACAAAGTAGTTTTAAAAATGTATGCAGTCATTTTAAAAGCATCTTATTCTTGCAGCGCCCTAGGTCACAAGAAACTCATTTGGTCTTCATGAAGTTATTCCAGATTTTCAGTTGTCACAGAGTAGAATCTGTTCCCTGTAACATCAGCTTTACAGATGGGATCGTGTGTAACAGAGCCCATGTAGTTACACAGAACAGCACACTTGAAATATGTTCTTTTTCTAACCTGGAAATACATTTTTTTTTTTTTTAACTCAACAGATTCTAAGCAAATTGATCAGTATTAATAACTAAGGCTTTCTATCCAATTTATGCAGAGAAATGGTCCTTGTCAATCTCATGAAGAAATCAAAGAAAACACATGACTCCTTTCAAGATGAATTAACGGATTACATTAAAGTTCAGAAAGCTAGAGGTCTAGAGCCAAGAAGGTATTTGGGAAAAGCAGAAGAGGAAGAGTTTCAAGATAAAAACATTGAAGGAGGAGGTGACCTTGGTGAGGTTGTATCTTCAAACTTGAAGTGTGAACGAGGCCAGCATTCCAGCCTTTTCTCAGAAACCCAGTCACCTACAAATAGTGGGGAAAATAGATCGCCAAGCTGGCCATCAGCTTGTGAGCATGCACTAGAAAAGACACCTGATTGTTGCTATAACAAGGGATACTGTAAACAAGAGCAAGCATCTGAGGTGGTCACCATCAGAGATAAGAGCTTCAGCCTATCGGTTGCAGAATCTAAAGACTGCTACAAACTTACGCTTGCTGAAACTTCTACCAGCTCTTACAGAAAAGAACAGATATTTCAGATAAAACATTTTGAGGAGGAAAAATACATCAGTGAAGAGCTGAAGTATGAGAAAGAAGCCACAAAGCAGAAAAGAAAGGAAAATATTGAAGGTGTAGATTTTGGAAAAGAAAATCAGAAGCAAAAGAGAATTAAATTTGACGTAGACTTGGTAAATGAGAAGAAATCAAGACCTTACAAAGATAAAAAAGTTAAAGAAAACTTTGCTGAGAAAGAGAGCAAAAAGCACAAAAAGGGTAAAAAGAAGCCACAGACAGATGGTAAAAGAGAAGAGGAGCTACTTTGGGATGAATCTGTTTTGGGATATTGATAAAGGTTTCACTTAGCTTTAAGAAGTTGATTCTGTTTGTAGACTCACTTAACTGTTTTGTACTATACTATGACTTCTTTTTTTTTTTTAAGCAAAGTTTTTGTTTTCCAATGTGGAAGCAAGAAAAAAACCTGTCTTCTGAAACTTTTGGGCAGTAGGTAGGCATCAATTTTTAATCATCTTACGCATACAGCAGCAGTGATGTGAGTTTGAAAGTCTGTAATCTCTTCTGGAATATACAACAAGTAAGGGTCAGTAGCTTGCAGAATACTGTTGGATTTTCACCAAAATGTATAGCTTCTTTCTAATATTAATGGTGCCTACTACTGAGGTTTCTCTTACTCTTCTAGGAAAGCACATAAACTCATAAGATAAATAAGGGGACTACAGTGTTCCCGGCCATGCCTGTAACCATTTCTCTGACAGATTTAAAAGGAGAATGTGAAAGGCTTTTGATTCCAGATCTTATTTGCTGTTGGGGTTTTTTTGGTTTTGGTTTGGTTTTTTTTGTCACCCAGTTCTGAGTGGAAAATGAGTCTATTAAACATGCAACTGTTTGTCAGATGTACATTGTCTAGTAGATTTTTCTCATTGTAATCCTGATTTTTAGTTTAAATTAGGAAACACAGAAAAGGTGCAATATGCAAAATCAATTGCTAACATGAGGCTACTTTCTGCTTCATTCACTCAAAGTAATATACAGAAGGAATGTTAGAATGAAGCTAGATTTGTGATCCAAACAATACCCTGAAAAATCAGTTACAGCTTTGTATTTCCATTTTAAATGTCGTGTCACCAGATCTTCATTCACAATATGGATTTACATTATTGTGGCACGAGCACTGATGTCCTACATATGTGTAATTAATTGAGAAACTTAGATGATGGGGTTCAAGCTCTTGTGTTGCTCCCAGGACTCTCAGATGAGACCTTCAGTGAGCCATGGACACTGGAAACGCATCAGTCTCTACAGGGCCCGGGGCAGGCAGGCTGTCCAAGAGGAAGAGGGGAATTGCAATGTCTGCCTGCACTGTGCAGATCTGGGGTTGTGTAGAGGATTTGAAGCCTGTCTAATGTCTTACTGAAAGGTGCTGAACTGAGTACATACAGTTAAGTTCTGAAAAGCGATCATTTAAAAGCAATTTCTTAAGACACTGTTTAGTATCTCTCTTATTGCCTTCAGGTTGCAAGAAAGCTTTTTCTGAGCCTTGATGTGGGATCTGAAAGCCATCACGCTGTTGAGTCGCACCACTTAGACTGAGTTTTCCACTGGGTTAGTCTGTTTGTAGAGGCACCTGTGCTGAACTGCTGCTCTTGGTAAATCTGCCCAACTGAAATTTTCTGTTGTGGGTGGTTGTGGTGTGGGATGGAGTAGAGACCAGGGCCCTCAAGCCTTGAATTCTGTCGGTTTTGTCTTAGTTTTAGTTTTGCGGGTGTAAGAAGTAGGTTGAAAAGCCCTGAAAATAATGCAGTCTGCTGTATTTTTTAAGGATTTGTGTTTTGTGGTTGATTGCAATCTTGGATTTAGATTTTTCCTGCTGCCGATAAAGTTATACATCCGAGTAGTTAGCATCTGAGCTGTGAAGTAACTTAGTCCATCCTTTAACAGGCAAGTGTAATTAGATACATGTACAACTAAACAAAGTTGAGCAGCAACATGTAGGTGCCAGTAACAGTTCATTGGTCAGGTGTCTCAGGGACCTGAACTCAGAGGTCCATGGGGATTCAGCTTTAAGTTCAAAGTGTACATAGGGTCTTTGTTCTGGTCCCCTTTTCTAATCTCACCTGGTCTTTGTTTCAGGCTGATAACGCCTCTGCTTTCTTCAGTGGTTCTTTTTCCTCTCTCAGGAGCTACAAGCCTTTCTGTGTCCTTCCAAGGA